ATTTGGGGTCACAAGTTTTTGCCATGGATATTTTATGGGTCAGAAGATAAAAAGTTTGGGAACCACTGCTCTAGGGTATTAATCATCAAATAAGTCGTTATTGGCTAAATACTACAATTAATCATGATTAATTTTTTTGCCAATATTGCCCAACCCTAGTGTCCAGTAGTAGTTTAAAATCACAGCCTGGTTTGCTGAATACAAACAAGATAGCATCGTTTTATTATTTTAATCTTTTAACTTTCAACACAACCTGTGGTTCACTTTGATGCTTCAAGCAGAATAACTTGGACCACTTTATTTTTTTTTAAAGGAGAAAAATGAAACTAATTTATGCACCTGTTCACACGTGGACTCTCAAAACCAAAACAACAGGAAAACACCTCTTAATAACCCAACCTTAAACCAGCCATCAGTSCAAGCTTTATAAACCCCAGTGTTAAACCTTAAAGTGTCCAAGAGTGACATATGAGCCTCAACAGAGCGAGGATAAAAATAAACCAGTCCTCAGGCCAACATGATGAACTCCAGACAGCTGAGTCACCTTTTTAAAAAATCACTTTCAGTCAAGAGACATGGAGGTAAAGAAAATTGAAAATCAGAACTTGACAAGCACGATAAACTGGAGATATTTAAATTTTGAAGATTACCACCTATTACAGACAGCTATTTTTTTTATTCTTTAAAAAAAAGAAAAGAAAAAAGGCAAGTTAAAAAAAATAGGGACATGTTGACTTTTAAACGTAGTGGACTAATTCACATAAAGAAGGCACAAATATAACAAGTCCTAATGTTTTTGATCATATAAGTGTGTTGAAATGAGCTCCCCTGCTGGTTTCAAGCAGTGACGTAGTAACGCTGAGGTGTAGCTGCAGGTCTCGAGCTCAGCTCCACCAGGTGTTTGTTTATTGGCCTGCTGGGATGGACTGTAGCCTGAACACAAAGAAACCCCCTATTTATCTCCTTAGAGACGATTTCTGTCCACGAGAATGGTGGCTGACACAAACACGGAGACAAATAGAAAAGCGTGTGTTGTTCGAACCGTCACCCCGCCTGAGACGTGCATTCCCTCCCCGAGCGAGCCCTCTCGTGCCTCGGTGCGCGAGCGTGGAGTGAAGCGGTGTGGTGGGGTGGGGGAGCCACTTACCGGAGAGTCGAAGGAGAAGGCGCACTCGCTCTTGAAAACCCTGTCTCCTGTTTTCGGGACTCTGATGGTGGGCATGTAAGGGACCAGCAGCTCTCCCAGGTCTGCAGCCATCTTCGCATTCCTGCTTCTCCCAGCAGAGTGCCGCCGCGGAGCCTCCGGAGCAGCGCTGTCAGAGGAGAGGATGCTATTTTTAAAGCCGCTACATTCCTCCGGGCCAGGGGCGGTGTGCCGCTGAAAACCGTCCGAAATGACAGACAGGGAGGCGGGAAAAGGGGGGCGCAGGCGTTAAGAAGGCAGCAGAGGTCTTTTGTTGTTGATTTTTTTTTCTTCTTACTGAAAAACGTGGACCTGCGCAGAAATKTCACTGCTGCTGTTGGCTGTGCTGTACTGACAGGGCCACTCCCATCTCTGATGATTCATAAATATACACCCTGACTCTTTATACTACAGCATGCTCTTCCTCTACTGCAGTCATCCAGAAGGGAAAAATAAAGATATCTTTAAGTCATTTCTCAGTGTTTAAAAATAGGGAAACTGTGTGTGTTTCAGTGTAGCAAAAACATAAATATTGACACAGCTTTAGGCCAGTTTTGCATCATTTCCTGAATCYGAATTCCAACACCACATCTGAGCAACCTGCCACAAAACAGACCCCCCTAAACAAGCCCCTCGTGTTTAAATACACATGTTTGGTTCAAAAAATACTTTGTTCAAATTGTATTCACTTTCTAAGTGTTCAGCGCAGAGTTTAAAAAAGCTGGAGCTCGACTAAATGAGCACAACCACAAGAAAATGTTGAATTGTTCAGTTTTAAAGTGGTATTTTAGAAAAGACTGATCTTTATGTGTTTTAAGAGTAGTGTTAGGTTATAGCAAAAGAGAGATCAAATTGTTTATACTTGCTTTGTGATTTATTGTAGCTGAAGTTTCAAAACAAACTAAAAAAATGGATCTTGATAGATTTGTTAGAAAGATGAGAAAAAAGCATTTTTGTCTTTGTCTGAAGTTAAACCGTTAAAATTTTTTAAAAAGGGTCAGACAAAAGATTTTTTCTTCTTTCTGATGGTTATTTATGATTTGGACTTGTTTATAGAATTTTTGTTTTTAAATTAAATTAATAAGAGATTTAAACAAAAAAATCATCAGGGGTGCTACTCAATTGAAAAACAGCGCATTTAGTTAAAAGGGAATTTATAAGCACCTAAAATAATTTGAAATTCTTACATTCTGTTGAAAAATATTGTGTTGAATATTAATTTGAAGACTTATAAAGCCTAAAGATATCGTAAATGAAGTGACATTAATAACGTTTCTATAAAAACACAGTGGCAATAGCAAGTGATATTTAACTCAAATTTACCGTTTCATCAAATAAAGGTTAATTGCTCCTACCAGAGGCAATTTTTATTGCCCTCAATAGCATAGCTTCTAGGATTATTCACTAACAAACTCCACCATGACAAGACAGTTCAAAGGAGGAAAACTTTATTCAATTAGACTGTTGCAGAACTGACACTAATCACACTTTTATGTTTTCTGAATCTAGTAAAGACACTTAGATACTAAATATCAGTACATAGATACTTTATTTAGGAACGAAGGGAAAAATGTCCAAACAGTAAGATTGATGACAACTTTATTAACTGTCAGGTACGTGCATGGGGCCTGGTTCGATGAGCTCCTTGTCGAGGGTTGGGATCTGGAACCAGGGGCCGTCTCCATATTTTCTCATGTTTCGACGGACCTCCCTCTCTTCCAGTCTGTCGGAGACAAGCAGGAAGTGATGATAAAACAAAGGGTCGAATCAAAACCAAGTTGCAAAGCCAGGGATGAAAAAAGAAAGTGATAAAATATTGGGAAGCATGTTGTTTTCCCCACCCGTTCACTGACATTGTGGATATATACATACCTCATGTCTGCCTTTTCCTTTTTAATCTGCACTGCAGCCATAGTGATTTCATAATGCTTCACTGGGGAATCGTACAGGTATCGAGTAATCCACCTGGTGATCGGGTGCTGCAAAATAAAAAAGATCAAATAAATGTTGAAACACTTGATTCAAACAAATTGTAAGTTGATTGTAACGTTTAGGGTTTTTTATGAAAGATTAACTATTACTAAAGTTGTAGAATACCAGTTATACATGTGAATACAAATAATATTGGTATTTGTTAAGGCTGGGTGATAAAACAATAATGAAATATAACGTGATAGACACATGATCAATAACAATGGAAAATAAGTTTGATAGAATGTTGCTAATTTCACTGAACTCTGATCCAGAACCGCAAGGCATTCTGGGGGATGTAGGCAGAGAAAAGGCTTTAGCTGCTTGACCTCTCACAGCCCAGCTAAGCAAGGCTGGTAGYATCAACTAACTCACTCTTTGGTGAGCTACCAACAACCTGTTGAGCAACATGCGCTGCAGGCAGCAGTTCCATGTTGCGCCACCGTGCCTCATAACTACTTAAAAATAAAAATAAAAAGAACAACGTGGAGCAAAAAGAGAAAATGAGCAACAACTCAAGAAGAAATTGTGGATAAAAAGAGGAAAAGTCACATCACCAATTTGGCAGAATTAACCAGCCTTTTTCTCCTTGTCAGCACTGCCAAATGTTCAATTATCATATTTGTACAAGAATTTTGTCCTCTGTACGATGAATAATTCCAAAAATACTATAATGATACTATAACGTACGATAATTGCTTCAGTGCATGTCTGAAAGAACTTGAGACACATCTGTCTGACATGAGAGGTAGCGGGTTGCAGAACACAGCGTTGGCAATTTAGCAACAACTGTGTTGCTATTATTTGCGAGTTTTCAGACCCCTCTAGTGACTGTTGTTCAGAAAATTGACTAGCAAATATCCAGCAACTCTTTTTCTGGTGTTGTTGAGACTCTGATGTAAACACTGCTTTCCAATGAGCAGCGGGCGATATTGTGTGCTCTTCCCCGGTCCCAAAGTGCTGACAGGCGGCTCGGTCATGACGCAGCGTCCCTCCCAGCTCATCCCATCCAGACCCTATGAACTGTGTTTATGGCTGTTTGGTTTTCTTCTTAGAGTTCATGATTTCCATTTAAATTAACCTATTTTATTGTTGTCAATTTTATTGTCATTTTATACGTACTTATTTTGTGTGCAGATGTTCAATTCCCCTAGCTCGCTGTTGTTTTGTACTTTGTTCTTGTTTACAGTTTTGTTTTTTTAAAAAAA